CCCCCCCCCCCCCCCCCCCTCTCTCTCTGGAGGATGTCACCATGGCGACAGCACCGTGCGGATGCTGCAGTATGAGGACCAGGAGGGATGCAGCCTGTCTCCCATGGCAACCGCTAGTATAGGATCTGAACATTCCCCCCCCCCCCCCCCTCTCCCCCCCTCTCCCCGTCTCACCGCCACCGCCCAATCTCTTCTATATACACACCTAACCACACATACCTCGGTTTAATTATCACACTGCAGCTGATGTTTCTGTCGCCTCGCTCTCTTCATTTGGCGCCACGTTTTTGTTTTTATTTTTTAAACGTGATGATATTTGAATATTCTTCTGCCATTCTGAGTTAATGATTTAAATTTCCCCTTTTCATCAATGAAGAACTGAGTAGTTTGCTAGAAATGGGATAAATTAAATCTATGTTTCAGCGGTCGACCACGATTAGACCGTCGCAGAAAAGAAACCCCCCGTTCCTCTGATTGGCCGACAGGTATCGGCCTCCAGCACAGTTCTGGTCTAAATAAGAGCTCGAGGTATATTAAACTGTCAGGTAGCCATAGCAACAGCACTGATGCTTCACCCTTTACGACATCAAAGTGGATTCAAACACAGACTCTCCTCGTAGCATCGGTGAGATGACAATGTAGGAGACAATATTGAAATTTAGGTGTCCAAGTAGAGACATTAATGCACTTCAGGTGTCTATGTAGAGACAATAATGACATCCAGGTGTCCACATAGAGGCACAAATGGACTCCAGGTGTCCTTGTAGAGACAATGATGTACTGCAGGTGTCCCTATAGACTTTACATACAGACTAAAAAGAACTCCAGGTGTCCATGTAGAGACAATAATAGATTCCAGGTGTCCTTGTAGAGACAATAATGGACTCCAGGTGTCTACATGGAGACAAAAATGAACTCCAGGTGTCCGCATAAAGACAGTAATGCACTGCAGGTGTCCCTGTAGAGACTTTACATAGAGACTAAAAAGAGCTCCAGGTGTCCACGTAAAGACAATAATGTACTCTAGGTGTCCTCATAGAGACAATTATTGACTATGGACAGCCCTGTAGAGGAAACAATGGACTGCAGGTGTCCTCATATACACAGAAACGGACGACAGGTGTCCTTGTAGAGACAGTAGTGGAGCTCCAGGCGTCGTAGGTTAAATTGGGCTAACGAAGCACTTTTAGCTTCAACTAAGTCTAAAAGAAACACTATAAATGGACGTCACGAGCCTAACAACATGAAGTCTGCAAACCACCCATAATGCAACATTTTCTGCAGAAGCTGGATATTCAAAACGAACATCAGGGTTCCTCAAATATGATGCACCGTCTCAAACAAAAGGATATTTAGCTCATATTTGAGCCGAGGTCTTCATACCAAAACCAATAAGTTATCGATCGATTACACACTCGATGTAATAAGTGTCGGTGCACCGTATCCGACTGCAGAGGATCAGTCTAGAAAGAAGAGAAAATGTGATGGTTGACTCCCCCCCCCCTCCCCCTCTCGCTCTCTCCCTCTCTCTCCCTCCACATAATTACCATGCATAGTCTCTCGCCCTTGTCTGCAGCATTCCCTCGTTTCTGATCTGCTTTAATTACCACCAGAATTTTAATTGGCGGGAGACAGCAAGGTGGCTGAGGTCACACACACACACACACACACACACACACACACACAGGCGAGCAGACAACCTATAAGGTAAAAGATGGAGGGTTCATTTGAGGAGATGTGTGTGTGTTCTCTCGCAGGAATATAAGATGCAGTGTTATATGGTGAATGAAAATGATGCAACCACAGTTTCTTCTGTCGATTCCTAATTATTTATCTGCATATCTGACATATCAAGTGTTACCAAATAGTGAACACATTAATGCAATTGATTTTTTTCATGATGAAACGGAAACATCGATATTCAGGTTGTATAAGGAAACAAGTGAATGAGACGAAAAGTTATAATTGATGAAGTCTTTTCCTGAAGCGATGGTATTCTCATATACACTATTTTCTTATTATTATGATGACAATTCATATATTTTCCTCCTTTTATTTCCTTTTTAATTAATATTTATTGACGTGACAACTGAATAAATCAACGGATGTTACAACACCTCAAAACATTCAAAAGACGTGTTCACTGTCCTCTCTTTTTTTAAACTGAAAAATAATCCCATCAAAGAATACAAAGAGTGGTATAACAGGCACAAGTCCACAAACTCAGACATTTCTCTCCTTAAATGAATATACATTACCTTGATTGTCTCACTCATTTCACTGATTGTCTCACTAAAGTGACACTCCAATAGCTAGTCAGTCATGTGGTGTTCCACAGGGCTCAATCCGAGGCCCTCGGTTATTTACAGCCACTGACGTCAAATTCTTTGGAAGCACAGCATCCTGTTCTGCAAATACAAAGATGATACTTGACTATATGTTGCACTGTAAGTTCTGTAATTATGGCAACAGGTATTTAGACTGTTTATTGGATATATCTTCTCTTTTTATTTGGCTGTAGAAAAAAAAAAACCTCAAGCATAGCATTTATAAACTTGGCATGATGTTTGAGTCTGAGCTTTTATTTTTTTGTGTCAGGTGACTAAGATCTTCACCTCATGCTTTCCTATTATCATGGATCTGATTTGTTTTTGCATTTCTTATTTAGCTATTTGTAAGGCTAATTATTTAAGGAAGATGGTGAACATAGTCACCATTATACCTGCTAAACATTAGCATTTGATAATCCATATGGCAGCAGTTCAGTAGTAGGATGACGTTAACGGAAAGATTGACAGTAAAAGAAAAAAGTAATTGTAAAGCGTTTAAATGTTTTTTTTAATTCCGTGAGACGAACACAGCGGTTTCAGTCAGAAAAGCAGCGTCACCTCCTCCAACTTGCCGTCCAAACACAAAATAAGCTCTTTCATATGGAAATAGACTAATTGATTTCCTAAAATCCACATTAAAGCCGTGTATAATTGTGCTTGCTGTTTTAGAGCAATTAAAGCAGAATTTTCCCAACAGTTAATGACTATTATGGGATTTGCGTAATTGAGGCCCTGGTTGAATAAGCTTTGGGGTTTTTCTTTTTTTTGAGGCTGATTCTCCTCCTCAGCGACGACGAGTCGGAATCCACTGCAGTGCCTTAACACATGGTCCACATCAGAGGGAGTCCTGGTCCTTCCTTCTGACGACCCTCCTGATTATAACAATACACTACGACATCAGAATCCGGCCTGTTTTTTGACAATGTATACGCAGAAAGGCATTTTCCTTTGATCTAGAAAACATCACTACAGAATGACATTTGATTTATTCAAGTTTGTGACAACTTTGATCAGTTCCCTACGTAGTAAAACACAAGTTAAAATTCAAGTGCCATGTATTCGTTAAGGGCTCCGTGTGGGTGGCTGATACTTGCTGTTTGAAGCTAATAGAAACATCAAAGTCATAAAATTGTTATGTTTTTATAGTTTTTGATCTTGACAGTAATGAGCCTTATTTAGAGGTCATAAATAAGTGTTGAAATCACAAAATCAACATTATTTTTACTCGGTCTCGTCTCAGACAAAGAAAACTTTGGATTTTATCTCATGACCAGTAAAGAGCACAACTGTGGGAATATCCCTCAGTTCCCAGCGCATTGTCTGATTTATGTGTTAACATCATTACTGAAAAAAAGGAAAATTCCCAAACTTAAAATTCACCTCTAAAGCGTTTTGATTGTTTTATCGAGACATTTCTCATCGACACTTAACCCCTCAAAGTCTTGGTCTTCGGTCTTGATCATGGCTTGGTCTTGGTTTAGGGGCTCTTCACTACAAAACTGCATCATGGTGCAAAACACTACTACGAAACTACTTCTACTTTATTTGTTAAAACCATAGACTGTATATAAGAAGTGGACGTAGTCATCGTGACGTCACCCATTGGTTTGTGGACTGATGTTATGAAGCCTCGAGTTCGGCCATTTCGCCGTCACCATCTTGGATTACAACCGTCATCGTGTTTTTTTTTTACAACCAATAAACGGAAGTTACCATATTTGGAATGCGGCCTATCTGACTCTAAATGGAGCATAATTTACTAAATGAACATCATGCTGTATTGAAGAAGACTTGAAACTAGAGATTGAGACCATAAACTCATGTTTACAATGTTTACTGAGGTAATAAATCAAGAGAGAAGTAGAGTCATTTTCTCATAGACTTCTATACAACCAGAGGAGTCGCCCCCTGGTGGACACTAGAGAGAATGCAGATTTTAAGACACTTCTGCACCGGCTTCACTCGTCAGAACCGGAGGTTGCCGCCTGATTTAAACACTGTAGAAATCTCTGGCTAATTGATTGGCTAATGTCTCAGCTAACATTTTGTAGTAAATAATTAACATAAAATGATTGCAATTACCTCCTGCAGCTGCAACTGAACACGGGGTCCGCTGTAATATCCCTATTGGGACTCATATTTTGGGAGCTTTTTGTGAAGTAGTTTCCTTTTGTACGAACTCCCAATATAGTGTACTGCAAATTTGGTGTTGCACATGGCGTATATAGTAGAAATTAATGATCAGAGGAAGACAATTTATGTTCTGATATGAATAAATATATTAATATTAATAGCAGATGATCAAGCGAGCCAACCAAGTTGGCTAGTTTAGGCACACTGGTCCTTGTTCTGGCTCTGAAGGATCCAACGTGAGCCCACTCTGGCCTGTATGTGGCTCAGTGTGCAGACTTATTGACCTGAGAATCGTCTCCTGTTGGCAGCAGGAAGAAAAGCTTTGGGGCCGCGAAGATCAAATAGTTAGTAAGAGAACAAAGATGGCTGCTGATCGTGTTTGTGCCCTCTGTCTCTCCTCAGCGTCTACGGCTGCCCGCTGGCCAAGAAGAGGAAGGCTCTGGAAAAACAACCACTGGAGCCGGCTGCCAAGAGGAGGCCTTTCCTCCCCTCCTGCACAGGTGAGGAGGAGGAGGACGCCGGCGCCTACACCAGCTACGAGAATGAAGCCATTGGGGTGAAGGGCGCAGGGAAGGAGCAGGGGGAGGTAGTGGAGGAGGATGAGGAGGAAGAGGAGGTGGAGAGAGAAGGAGATGAAGACGGAGACGTGGAGGATGAGTTCTCGGAGGACAACGAGGAGCAGGGGGAGGAGGAAGAGGAGGAGGATGACGAGGAGGAGGTAGAGGTGGGGAGAGCGAATACGACAATGGGAGGAGAGCGGGCGGAGGACGAGGAGGAGGAGGAAGAAGAGGAGGAGGAGGGAATGTATGAGGAGGAGGAAGAAGTGGAGGATGGTGATGATGAGGAGGAGCAGGAGGATGAGGGAGAGGAAGACGAGGAGGAAGACGAGGAGGAGCAGCATCGTCAGCATGGTGAGTTTCCTGATTCCTGATTTCTGCATTTTGAAATGTTTTTCTCTGGTTGTTTGTCCTCAAATGGGTTTAAAACATCTTTTGACCCAAACCACCATCTCAACCAAGGTTGTTTGATTGTATCCATTCAGAAGTAAAACAAACTGTGGTCAGCGCTAAACTAAATATACCTAATTTCCTGTGACTGCTTCACAATAAAAGCCCCCACCCCGTATTTAACTGGTTAAATGCTGGATTACATGATTTCCTCGTGTCCGGTGACTCCCTTGTGCATACAGTAAGTACACCACAACCACAAGACTTGTGTTTGACACCGTGTTAGGATTTTATGGCAGTGGTTTTGTTGCCTCAACCTAAATTTAAGTAGTTATTTTAAAGCCAACCGTGATGCTTTCTTATAGCCTAACAAAGTGGTTTTGTTGCCTTAACCAAACTTTTGTTTTTAATGTAAAGTCTTACAGAAATAAATGATAATAGATTGCATTACTGACTATTTCACGAACTGCCGTGAGACTGTGTTGGATATACTGGCAAACTGTCCAGGGTGTCTGCATCCTAACTGTAGTCCACGATACATGCGTAGCATTACAGTCGTTATTCACAGCCACCAGAGATGACTTTAGGAAACGTAAGGTCATAGGTCAAGTTTTTGAGCAGTTTCTTTTTTGGGAGGACATTTTCTGAGTCTTGTGTGTTCAAAGCCAATTATCTCGGGACAACTGCATCTCGATCTGCAAGAGTCCCATCATGTTTGAGGCCACATGGAAATCAAAAAAGCTAAAAGTTAATCGAACATCGATGAACCCGGGTCCGTGCTCGTTGCTCCGGGTCAAACCGGAGTCCAGTCTGGGTTTGCATTGTATTCTTGATCTGCAGTGGGAAAGGAGACAGTGATGAGAGTGCTGAGCCGAATCTGTGGTCGACCAGATGCTCCGTGCTCTCCTTCTCACCACGTTTCCCTCGACCCCCCCACACCCCACACCCCCTCCACAACACCCCCCTTGTCCTCAATCGCTTCTGACAGCGCTTCACGAATAATCGGGAGAGGAGCTCTGCTGAGTTATTAACTCCCACCCTCCCCTCCTCTCCCCTCCCCTCCCGTCCCCGTTTGCCTCCTCGTCTCGGCGGACGTGTCACATGCGCTCTGCCTCGGCTTCTCCTCCTGAGAATATTTATGGCTCCCGAATCGGAGCACCTCACACGCCTCCCTTTTCAATTTCCCTGCTCTCATTCGCCGTCTCTGTCCCCAAAATCAACAGCGAGGCTTAGCAGGGAGAGCGGCGCTGCTCAGCACAGCTCTGCACAGCTCTGGGTTGTGTGTTTTATGTGAGTAAACAGTGGATCATAATTGGGAGGGATGCTGCTAATGTATTCAGGAGTATATGAGAAGAAACTGGGTTCATCAGCATTGCTGAGTTTATTAGAGGATGTAAAAGCTTCCTTTCCTTTTCATCTGCAGGATTATTATGCTGTAACTGAACAGATAGTTATATTATCTACAAAATGAATCCATTTCCTCTTTTATTTTTGACCAATTACCTTCTGTTTATGTAGTTTATGGTGCGAGATACTGGGCGAAACTAGCCGTGACGTGAGATGGGTTTTGTATCAGGATGTCTGAGAGGTTTCTTTCGTCCTTTTCCTGACAGTAGAGAACCACTACAAACCCGGCGGACAATCAAAGCTCCTTCCGCTTCAGAAGGACAACAACAACAACCACAGCTGCAACATCAGCGCCGGCAACGGCACCGGAGAGGATTACGAGAACTACGACGAGCTGGTCGCCAAGTCGCTGCTCAACCTGGGGAAGATCGCAGAAGACGCCGCCTACCAGGCCACGACCGAGTCCGAGATGAACAGCAACTCTTCCAACAGCGCCGGGGAAGACGAGGACGACGAGGAGTACGACGGCAGCAATCACGGTGACCGGAAGGGCGAGCTGAGCGTGGACCTGGACAGCGATGTGGTCAGGGAGACGGTGGATTCCCTGAAGCTCCTGGCGCAGGGACACGGTGTCATGCTGCCCGAGGACGGCTACCCGGAAGGCGTCATGATGGACCACGTCGGCCAAGCCAACGGGCGGCCCGGCATCGGGGTGAGGGTGAGGGCGGAGGAGAGCGAGGAGGAGGTGTGTCTCAGCAGCCTGGAGTGTCTGAGGAACCAATGCTTCGATCTGGCTCGGAAGCTGAGCGAGACGCAGACGTGCGATCGCCCCGCCCTCCACGCACTCCACCACCAACTCCAAATCCCAACGGACCATCAGATGGTGCATCACCTGAACAGGTTCGTCATCTCTAAAGAGTCTTTTGATCATGTTGTTGTTTATTCCACATACCCATATTTCCATCTACCTTTGTGTCATATGAAAAGCTGTGCAGGTAGATTAAAGCATTATTTATGCTTATGAACCATATTAGCATAATTACCATTGACATTTCAGAGACTCGATGGGTTGGCTTTGAAGGGAGGCAAAGGTACTGTGTGAGATGAAAGGGACAAGTGCATAATGGGAGTCAGAAAACAACAGGATGTTAGTTATTGTATGATTTGGACCCCTTATCAAAACAGTCAACAGCTGGCAAAACACTCTAAAGCGGCAACATCTGCTTCTGCAGAGTGAAGCCGATGCTTCATGTGCATTCTCTCTAGTGTCCACCAGGGGGCGACTCCTCTGGTTGTATAGAAGTCTATGAGAAAATGACTCTACTTCTCTCTTGATTTATTACCTCAGTAAACATTGTAAACATGAGTTTATGGTCTCAATCTCTAGTTTCAAGTCTTCTTCAATACAGCATGATGTTCATTTAGTACATTATGGTCCATTTAGAGTCACACAGACCATAAAGCAGGGGATGCTTTAGGGCGGGGCTGCTGTGATTGACAGATTGCTGTCAGGACAGCGACATCGCCAAACTCAAGGCTTCATAACATCAATCCACAAACCGATGGGTGACACCACTTCTTATATACGGTACAGTCTATGCTAAAACCCTAAAGCTAAGTTTATACTCGCCGTAGTGAAGCCGATGCAAGGTGCCTGTGCCAGAAAATAACGTAGTCAAGGCCGCGTGAGCTCCGCAAGTGGTGGCGTCATTTGGTTGTGCACCTCTGAAATTTTGTAACTCGATCACGTGACTGTCACAAATAGTTCGCTGATAGAAATACTATTTACATGTCTCGGGATTATACAAAGAAGGACAATTCGTTTTTAGATGCTTTAGGAACAGGAGGTCTGAAAAATCTTCATTTGAGTAAATATTTTGCAGCCAAATCTAATAGTTTACAGGATATTCAACCTTCGTTTCTTTATAATACATTTAATACTTAATTTCTCTCTTTACAGGGCTTGTACAAAGGCAATACAGTAGTCCATGATTATGAGTTTACAGATAATTACAATTCTTCCTTGGCGTTGTGGAGGTTGGTTTATGGCGTTTTGCCGTTTACACTCGTTGTCTTTTTGATTCTTCACATTTAATTTTGTTCATACGCCCTCTGGTGCTTCTGAGAATAATGCAACGAACTGCGTGTTGAGCATAAACCCCCCTGTGCATGCTGGGAGCTCGCACGCCATCTGCGGAGACTCGTGCTACGGTGCCAAGTGCGAGTATAAACAAACCTTAATTATTGCTGCTTAGAAATCATAGAAAAAAAGATGCTCCTAGTAGCTTCAGACCTTTCCTGAGAATCGTCACATTTTTAAGTTTCCTTCAGTATCAAAGTAATCCAGTGATAGTTGTCTTCATATTCATGGGTTCACTGCAAACAGGAACTGTTAAGAGCTAATTCGGCAAACTTAAAATGGCACCAGTTTGTCAAAATCGGAACAATTATAGGCAAAAAAGGCCTCTTTCATTACAACTTTATCCTTTGTTGGTTGCGTTGGTTTGCCTCTCTCTCTACTTGGGGATAAGGCTGTATTCAGGATTCAAGAGGTCTTGGATCCCCCATAGTTATCAACTGTAGATTTGTGATAAATCATGTTAAAGTTTGATCTAAAAAACAAAAGTGAAGACTCGGCTTTTATTGAAATACTGTATATTTGCTGGAGGGCCAGATCTGGCCCAGGGGTCTATTGCTTTAGAGGAACAAAAGAAGTTAAAGATAATGAGCTTTTGGGTTTCGCAAATTGACATTGACAGTAATTTCAGACTACAAAGCAGATGGTTGATCTTCCTCAGACCACCTCAACTTTCAGCCACAGTTTTCCAGTAATCCGTCACTCACTGGCGGTCATTTTTTCAGGTACGACAGCTGCCAGCAGAGCGCACAGGAGGAGCACAGGTCTCTGGAGCGCAGCTACTCCGACATGGTGAACCTGATGAAGCTGGAGGAGCAGCTGAGCCCGGGGTCCAGAGGTTATCCGACCAGCTGCAGCCAGGAGGGCGACGAAGACACCACGTCGGTGGCCTCCGACCGCTCGGACGAGACCTTCGACATGGCCAAGGGAAACCTGTCGCTGCTGGAGAAGGCCATCGCCCTGGAGTCGGAGAGGGCGAAAGTCATGAGGGACCGCATGGCCTCGGAGCACTCGTTGCCCCGTCGGGACCACCATCACCATCGAGGCCACGGCGAGCACAGCTCCAGGCTGAGCTGCGCCGGCGAGGAGCGCAAGTCCAGGATGCACCACGACGGGTTGAAGAGGGCGTACTACCCTAAAGGTAGGCAGCCAAAAAACCCACACACTGACCCTCACTGTGTCATCACAGATCTGCAAGGATGTACGTAATGTTTTGTGTTATATCTGCACACAGTTTGTTTGTGGGGAGTTTTGTCTCCAGTGTGTCTTCATTCACTTGGTCCTACCCTCAGATATTTTACATCTGTGAAAGAAAAAGTGTTGTCTGGGAGTTTTTGTTTTTTCATGCCAGGACTATTTTTACCACGGCGGCTGGACTTCCAGAGGCAGATTTAGTTCAGCCAGTCAGTCAGTGTGTAGCTCTACACCATCAAACTACATCGCTGTTCGCTGCACCTGAATAAAAGTGTTCATGGCAATTATAAAAGAAACGTGTGGCAGTAAAAGGAAGAAATAAACTCGATGTGAAACGGAACAGAAAAGGTCCCACTGTCAGAGAACAAATATTCCTATTTCAACCACCTTCCCAAAGTTATCGTCCCATCATGTTTCCTCTCCAAATTCTGCCAATTTTGCAGCACCTCTTTGCATCATATGTGACCTGAATCTGCTTTTCCCTCCAAAGATCTGACCCCAGGTCAGCAAGGAGGAAGTTTATCTTGCCTCCCTGACTCATTGTAATCCTCAACACTGCAGCAGCCGCAGGCTATCAGTGCTGTAGCAGGAAAATAAAACGCATAACTGTAAATTTAATGTTTGCCCCCCCCCAGATTGGACTATTTCTGTGCACACCGGTTGAGGTTTCTGACCCCTTGGCTCTTAAAACCTGTTAAAGTCCCATCGTGTTATTTGAGAAATGTTGCACATGGCCGCCGATGAGATAATGGGCGCTCATCTTCAGCATTCAGGAGCAACAGTTTCTTTTTGTTTCTTTTTTTTCGCCTCTGACAGCAGCTTATGTTGTTAAAATAGGCCGGTGTGGGAACATCAGACGGCCGGCTTGTCAGGCATGAGTAATGGCAATCTGCGCGGCCTGTTAGGAGAGCAAATCCATCTGTGGGACGCTATCTGCGGCCTATTTCTCTAAATCCACTCAAATACGACTCCCTCCCAGCGGCATTGGGAGTCGGAGCTGTGCGATTATCAGCCTCACGTTGGCTTCAGACTGCTTCATTAGCACAGAGGAGGTTTTTATTAGTCCACAGGAAAGCTTTCATTGTGATCAAGAATCTCAACAAGAATCTCGATTAGATCAACAAATATGTCGATCTAATCATATTTCTGTCATGGCTAGGTAGCTAGCTACGTATGAAGATGACATACCCATTTCTAATCCTGCACACAAAGCTTTGATTGGTCAATTGCTTCTCCAACCATCTCAAACAGCCATCAATGGATATAACATTAGACCTATGAGGAGGCAAAGTCCGACTATGGGACCTTATTTTGGAAGAAAATATACGGAAAGAGAGAAATTCCGTTTGATTTGTACCATGAATATGATGTTCGTCAATTTAAAAGATAATTTTGCAAGTCGAAAAAGTCTCATTCTGTCGTAAAACTGTTTAAGATTATAAAAAATACGAAATTGGCAAGAGTGCCCAACCAAAACTCTCGTAAGTGACGTCTCTCTCTGAGTCTATGATGTCTGTGTGTTCTCAAACCAAAACGAAATGATGCTACAATAAACTGAGACTGTCTCGAAGAGCAACATTTTCTTTGTTAAACATCATATGTGTAATCTGTTGCACAATCATAGACTGTATATAAGAAAATGAACGTAGTCATCGTGACGTCACCCATTGATGTTTTGAAGCCACAGTTTCTGTGATTTTGCCTTCGCCGATTTGGCTTTTTGCAACCAATAAACAGAAGTTACCCTGTTTTGGAAATGCGGAGGAGTGATGTAGAGTTGGCATATACGTCTCTGGTAGTGTCAGCGACCTGTCAATCACAATAAGCCCCGCCCTAAAGCAAAGAAATCGTCTGGCGCTCGGCCGCCGATCACCTGTTGACTCACCTCATCTCTCTGTCCTCTGCAGACTCTTCCAGGGGGGAGAAGAAGGAGAGCAAGTGTCCGACGCCGGGCTGCGACGGGACCGGTCACGTGACGGGTCTGTACCCGCACCACCGCAGCCTGTCCGGGTGTCCTCACAAAGACAGAGTCCCGCCTGAGAGTAGGTCCATCTGCCTGGATGTTACGTTACAAAGCCAGTTTTAAACAGAACAACAACAACAGTCCGACAAGTCATTTCAGCTAGATAAGTTCTCCAGTCTGGTGTTTGTGTTTTGGTGGTTTCATCATGTCTCAGAGGTGGAGGAGCTTTGGAGGCAGAACATCTTATTGGTTGAAATGAAATGGCAAAGAAGGAACAGTGGCATAATAAACATAAGCTTTAGGCTACAACTACTGACTTTTGTCATATGGACATGCTACACGTTTGATCGGTTAGATTCTCCACAATTCAATCGTTTAGTTAATTTTATTGAAACCATGAGCACCAAAGTATAATTTATTGTGATTTACTGACATGTTAAACAAGAGATAGCCTACATAGATAAAGTGGTGACTCCTGACCTTTTAAAGTGATCATAAAGTCTCAATATGTGTCCATTCCTCGATTATTTACATTCCTTTAGTCCGTTAGGCTCCTCCGAACAAAAGAATCAAAACCTTTTTTCATAAAAATGTATATAAGTAGAGAATATTTTCACGTGAAGTCCGTTGCTCACCGTCTGCTAATGTCGTTCATCAAACGAAGACCGAACAATGAAGAGTGTTGTTTACTGTCTCAGAACTGAATCAAACCAATGATTTCGTAAATATTATTTTATTCGATAGCCTTATTATACATACAATTAATATTTATACTGGTTAGAATAAACAATCGAGTAGTATTTGCCATGTTTGCTGAACAAGAGTTGTAATAAAGAAATCAAAGGCATATAGTTCAGTGATTGGAGCAAATAAAAGCCCGGACTGTTAAATGCAGCTTTACGGTCGTTGACTGTTTGTCTTTCTTTGTCACATAGGATCCAAAGCTGCATTCACTTGTAACTGTACGTCTAATTTAGGCTCTTTATCTGGCGTGACTACAAGGCTAGCAAAGGGGGTTACTACTATATGTTGGAATATCCAAACTTCCCAGTTTGCATGAATGCAGCGTAAACGATGCTGCTCATCACTGTGGTTCTTCAGCTCCAACGCTTGAGGTTTAATTAAACCACAATCAGATTCCTCTTTGCCTCTGAGAAATGTTTGTCAAATCTAAAACCATTATCTTTCTTTTAATTTTGCATCAAAACTAATTAACTATCTGTTCTGTGTCCTTTAATGTTCAAAAGACTAAATGAATTCCCGTACAGGCAGCGTCATGGCTGCGGTACATTTATGACACTGACTTTTATTTACTGGTCAGATCAAATGATTTCACCTTATTTCAGAAAACTCTTTATTCCATTGGACTCAATTGGGATTATCTCATGTTTTTAGAATAAGATTAAAAGAATTACGTCAGATGACTTGTTGGACGGGTTGTGTAGCAGCGAACGTTGGACAACGTTGGGCATGTCTGCTGTCCACCATCATGCATTCGTCCTGCATGACTCCACATTTGTGTTTTTGTTCTTTGTTCTGTTTGACTTGATAAAAGCTGAGCTGAGGATTTATTGCTCATTTATGAATTAATAATTTGTTATAATCCAGAGTTCTATCTGCAGTCGTGTGACACAACATATTAAGACGACTGGTGATCTTTTTTTTGTAGATTTTTTAAGTGAATTTTAATTGTTTCTGCACATAATGCTCTTAAAAGTTGGTCGTCTTCAAAGAGTTTTTTTTTGCTTTAGTTTTTGTGTGCTCCTTTGCTTCCTTTTCTCCCTCCTCATCACACCTGCCTGATGTCTGGTTTCGGTATCTGTGTTGCTGATGTAAAGTGAGCTGCATGAACAAATCAGTTTGATCCACCGGCTGCAAAAAAACAAACAAAAAAACAACCTGCATGAGAAAAAGCTGCTTTAATCACGCTCACTGAACTGGTGATGTGTGACATTAGATCGGGTAGAAACCTGGGCGTCACACCTACAAAATGAATAACATGAAGAAAAACAATGGAATTCAAATTAAGAATACAATTAATAGTCATTTTGTCGATATAGATAGCAGAAAGTATTAAATATGGTTTGATTATTTTCGGTCTTTTAGCTGCATTTTAGCTTTTTTAGCATTTTAGTCTTATTTATTTCAAGTAACAAGCATAACTTTTATTTCTAAGCAAAAAAATACAACTTAGATTTCTTAGAAGCTAAATATTATTTTTAAATAGATTATATAGATGAAGAAGGGATAAATGATGCATTGTGGCATGTTTTTAGTGAATGCATGTTTTGAAAACATACACTGAAATATGCAACATACCAGAAGAAATATAGAAAATAAGAATATATTTGTATAAAGGAATTGTCTTTGTGTGGAGACATCCATGAAACAACCCAACTTCTGCATATATGCACATCACACCGTCGATGGATGAACATGGAAACAGATTTGGAAACCTTTGTCGCAACACAATAATTAGTTCTTCTGGTGCTCACGTTGTTCCTTTACCATCTGCACAGTCATCAGTAGATTTTAACAGTGCATGACAAACGCTTGCTTCCAGTACGTTCATGAAATTTCATGAAATGAGCGCAGCGATTAAAAATGCAAATGAGACGTGTTGTGTTTCCCCAGCAGGAAAGGATTACACACAGAGAGACACATTCACCTCCAACTCAAACCAGTTATTTTGTGTTTCAAACTTGTAAAGCACAGATTTCACTACTCGAGTGGACGGTTTGTTGTGTGTTTATTTCCTCTTATCGACCGCAATCCTTTCACGCTGGAGTCGGTCACAACGCTGAATATTCGTGGCAGCGTTCGTGCTCATTCTTGCAGCTGTAATCTGTTGTGCGGCCGTGATCTTGTGCATGCCGAACCGCTGAACGCCCGGTAACTCTCCTTGTCTGCTCCTAACCCTTCGCTGTCTTTCTCACCTTCTCCTGTCTGTCAAAGTCCTTGCCATGTATGAGAATGTTTTAAAGTGCCCCACTCCCGGCTGCTCTGGACGGGGTCATGTCAATAGCAACAGGAACTCGCACCGCAGGTGAGTGAGCGGCCTTTCAGCCGGCGGCTGCAGAGCAAAAAGCACCGCCGGCATGTGAATGTGGCAGATTTTACAGCACAGAAGCTGTAAGTCTGTGTGTTGTTTTGATGGATGACGTTTGAGGCTGATTGGTAGACACGAGTTTATTTTGCAGACTGACTTGAGGTGTAAGTAAAAAAGCAATTCCCTCACAAAATGAAGCATAATTCGGCAACTGGATTCCTCAGCAAGTCAAATTGCAATTCTTTTAGGCTCTACACATGCTGACGGTTAAATGACGCAGCATCTTTGTCTTTTCTCTTAAGCTTTTTAAAAGTGTTTTCTACGCAACAGAGATCGACATTGACCGGCTAAAAACACGGCATTGTCTTAGGTCAACTGAGGCGAACCGCTCACAGGAAGTCTCAAACCTCAAATACAAGGTCTTTGTGTTGTTGGTTGTTTTTACCCACTAGTGTTGCATTTATCTCCACCTTGATACCAAAAGAAAATTGCCTCATTTTCTCTCGTATAAAATGATCTCAGTTGCTGGAACATTCCCGGGTTTAGAAGCTGGTGGGAAGAAAAAAGACGAGGCTTTAATTTAAATGTTGCCATGTTTGAGCTAAAGGTGCGTCACATCAGCAGTTCAGCTGTTTAAGAGGCAGAGCATCACGCACACACGCGCGCACGCACACACACACATATTTTTGAACTATGTAAAGTGATTAGGATTCACACTCATTTTCTCACACATACGTAGAGCCTCAAATCACAGAAATGCACACTGTTTTATGCACACACACACACACACACACACTCACAAATTAGCTCACAGACAGCAGCACACGTGCGCTGGCAGACAGAGAAGCACTCACACACACACACACACACACACACTGGCTCAGACGTGGCTGCAGGGTGTGTTATGTAGCACAGCTCCGCTGGGAGAGGAAACAAAGCACGAGCTAGCTAGCGTAGCTACCGTTAGCTACCAGCTCACACAGCTTTCATGTCTGGCAGTCGCCATGGAAACGCCTTCATAGCAGCAGCCTCAGCCTCAGCAGCAGCTGCTGCCGTGCTGATCTGTCACACGATGCTCACACGCTCCTATCAACCTTATAAGTGTGTGTGTGTTTAACGGTATTTCATTCCTCCCGTGTATGAAGAGATTAGGAATCGCCCGGAGTGACAGACAGAGGGAGAAGCAGGAAGTCTAAGTTTTAAATACAAACTGTTTCTCAGGCTTCTCTTTTAGTCCAAAATTCACTGAAGAAAAACGACATTAGAGCCTCCTTAACGACTTCATTTAGGACAAACTGTCGGTTTTGTTTGGTGGTCAACTTGCTTTTTCAGGAGCTAAATCAACAGTTATGTATACGAGTTAACACGTTCTATTGTCACTTTATTTTTGGTTCTTTTTTAACTGTAGAAGGGATGCATGGCTTCTAGCCTTTGTTCCCGTGGAGGTTCAATGAAACCTTGTGAACCTGAGGGTTACACTTGACAAGGAGCGAATGAAAAACTACAAATTTAGAGGGTGTTGCTGGGAGTTGGTGTGAAGTAACGAGTTTGTTTAAACGGAAAGTGTTTTGATTGCAAACATGCCAAAGTCACATGAGGAAATAGTGTTTGTGTGCTTCAGCCCTCAGCTGTCAGTCAACCAGTGCCTAACCAGTTAGTAACATGGTAGTTAGTAAAGAGTCACCGCACCAGTCATTAGAACCAGTCAGTCAATGAACTAGTAAACTAGTCCGTACTGAACTGGTTGATAGTCAATTTATAAAACAGTCAGAAAGTCAGAAGTTGACCAGTTAGTCAGCTAGAAAACCAGTCAAACACACAGTCAGTAAACCAGTCAAACCTAGACTTTGTAAACCAGTCAGTCAACCAGTAAACCAGTCAAACCTAGACTTTGTAAACCAGTCAGTCAGTCAGGTGATCAGTCACAAACCATCAGTCAGTAAACCAGTAATGCATCATAAAGTAGGCCATACTCAATTCATAATTCATTGTGAACTGCTGTTCCTGACAGCTGAACCGGTCTTCAGCCAGATGCTGTGTGTGTGTGTGTGTGTGTGTGTGTGTGTGAGTGTGTGTGTGTGTGTGTGTGTGTGTGTGTGTGTGGACAATACAGTATATGTAACCAGGCCGTGTGCTGTCTCCCCCCTCCTCCCTCCCTCCTCCAGTCTGTCCGGCTGTCCCATCGCTGCCGCAGATAAGATGGCGAAGGTCCATGAGAAGATCCTCCCGATTGAGAGCGGCAGTAAGACGTCCAATCAGACGTCAGACCGTGTCCTTAGGTAATGCCCACGCGGAGTTAGAACAACATTAAGATAACGTGTTTTAATAATAATGTGTTTTTATCATGAAGAGCAACCTTTAATTGTCATGCATTGATGAGGGATGCTGAATGGTGCGTTCAAATCTAAAGATATCCTATAAACACGAAGCCTGATTTGTCTTGTTCTTTGTCATTTTGGGTTTGGTTAGCTATTTGACATTGCTGTCACATTCACCATTTATTTTTAAATTAGGGATTCTGCATGGCGCAGTGGATTCCCCACACTTGTGAATCTTAATGAGATGGGGAAGCTCAATAGTGCAGTAAAACTTCAAGGCCAAAAAGTGCCTCTAAAAAAGTCCTGAAAAAAACCAACAACATAGCTTTGGTAAATGCTTCAAGATTACATTTTTGTGCATCTCTTTATGAAGGATGCCAAATGGTGCAATGAAGTCACCAGCACATTAACTCAACCTTTTTACTTTTCTGGGTTGTCTGGGAAGCCAACATGCATTCTGAAACAGCTTTCAGTCAAATATATGACCCATTCAGGTACACTACAGATGCCAAATTGTGCACAAAAAATAGATTTCTTAAACCAGGGATGCTAAATTGTTAGTAGATCACCAGTAAGTAATGAAAATGGATACTTTTCTTGTAGCAGATTGGATATATTTTTTTTAATGTTTTGGTCATGCAGCTAAACCTGTAATTATCATATTTGAATCAAGGATGCTGAATGGTGCATTAAAATGGAAGCAGAAACCATGAATACAGCGCTTACCCCGGTTCATTGCCATTTTTGGTTGGGAAAACAGCAGTAGATTGTATTTAACAGTGTTAGTGAAATAAGGGACACCAAATGGTCCAGTACAATTCCCACACTTGCGTTAGTGGGAAGCAGCTGTAGATCATAGACACTTTAATTAAGTGGGGAAGCACAATAGTGCAGAAACAAATCACACTCTCAAAAAAATCCATAAGATAAAAAGCTTTGGGAAATACTGTACCTTTACACACATTTAAAAAAAACTCTTCTTACATGTGTTGCCTCTTAAATCAAGGATGCCAAATGGTTTCCTCTTTCAGAAGATTTGCAACATATTTTGTATGCATTTACTCATGTCGCATGAAGCAGGCATGTAAAAATAATGCAGAGAAATGAGCAGTGTGCTAACATCCCCCTCCTGAGCCAGTGTGTTTTGTCATGCAGATAAACCTTATTAATTAGGGAAGCCCAATGGTGCAGTCAAGTTTCCAGCATACAAAATGAACACAGGGTCTACTTTGTCTTGCTGATAGATAATCTTGGCTTTGGGAAACGGTGTTGATGTTGATTATATTTACACTTAAAGATGCTGAATGGCGCAGTAACAAAATCCCTTTCCGGTTGCCTTTCAGGCCGATGTGCTTCGTCAAGCAGCTGGAGATTCCTCAGTACGGCTACAAAAACAACGTCCCCACCAGCACGCCGCGGTCCAACCTGGCCAAGGAGCTGGAAAAATACTCCAAGACCAGCTACGACTACAGCGGCTACGACGCCCAGCATGGCGGCTACGGGAAGAGAGGCCCGGCAACCAAGTCCCACCACGGACGAGACACCTCCCCGAAAGGATACGACGGTAAGAAGAATCGTCATTTAGTGCATTTGTCTCCTTTGTTTGAAAAAAGGAAGGTGTGGTGTTTTCTTTTCTGGCTTCCCGGCGGAAAGAAAGATGTCACAGTGGGTGGCAACAGCACGCAGGTGCTGCATCTACAGCACAATGCTGGAATCTAAATAAGTTAGAGAAGAAGAATAACAAGCGGTAATGAGAAGAAGCTGGTGTCACTTCGTCATTATTTATCCTCACATTCAATCTTAATCACATTGTCATGTTTATTCAGATGCCACATTCTCCACCTCTGGCAAACAAAAAACATTTATTTGAATTTTTATTTCTACTTTTTATTGATAAATTCAAAATGAGCATAAAAAAACAGGATGGAAACAGATTTCCTGTCAGTCCTTTAAGGGAATAAAACCTGCAAAATGATCCCAGTATGGAGGATTTATTTTCTTTTTTCCTGTTCTAGGGAGAACATTTTGTACTTGACGACAAACACACACACACACACACTAACACACACTCACACATGCTCTGTATAGTCAGTGTATTCTCTTTGTTAGAGCGCTGAAAACGCCGGTGTTTTCCGCCTCTCCACATGGCTAGAGTGGGAAAAAAAGCAGAGCAGAGTTATGGAAATGCCGAGCCAAGAGCCTTTGGATGGAGGTGATGGGAGGGATGGGAGGGAGGGAGGAGGTGCAGATGGAGGGATTGTGAAACGGGAGGGAGATAATGGAGGCGAGCCCGGTTTCTTTGGCTGGGAGCCATTAGTGAGACGCAGGCAAGAGAGGGAGGTTTTTTAGACGAGGTGTCTGTGCGCTCCCCTCCATCACGACTCCCTCCCTCCCTCCTTTCCAGCATCCTTCCCTCCATCAGCATCGCTCCAGCCTGCCGAGCCCCGATTCACAATCGCACCATGCAGCACACAAAAATCGCGTTTTCTTTGTCTCTACAGCTGCCTCTATTTTCACCTCCCCCTGTTTTATTTCTCCTCTCGTCTGGTGTTATTCTATATTTATTTTGTTTTCAACAAAATCACATGAAAAATGTCTCAGTACTTTTCGACTCGTCTGTGGCTCGAAGCCCATTCGCTTCTACTTGAGACATAAATCTTCAATTATGTAGTTTCTATAAATAGTCCAGAAACCCCCCCCGCCCCCCGCGCCCCCACCCCAA